GGACATGAAAAATGCTACTCCAATAATCTCATGAATAAGAAAGTGAAACAACCTTATTGCCAATATGGAGAAAGTTTTAGTGGTCTGCATACAAGATCAAACTAGCTACAACATTCCCTTAAAGCCAAATCCAGAGCAAGGCCTAACTGAACTCTCTTCAATTTGACCCAGGTGAGAAAGCTGCAGGAAAAAAAAAACTTTGAATTTAGCAGAAGTTTGTTCATGAAGCTTAAGGAAAGACGCCATCTTCACAATACAAATGTGCAAGGTGTTGTAACAAGTGCTCATATAGATGTAGCAATTTATCTAGAAGATCTAGCTAGGATAATTGAAGATGACAACACTAAATGGATTTTCACTGCAGATGAAACAATTCTCTATTGGAAGAAGATGCCATCTAGGACTTCCATAGCTTCCATAGTCAATTCCTGGCTTCAAGACTTCCAAGGAAGGCTGACTGTCTTGTTAGTAGCTAATGCATCTGGTGACTTCAAGCTGAAGCAAATGAACCTGTATCATTCTGAAAATCCTAGGGTCCTTTAAAATTGTACTAAACTTGCTCTGTCTGTGCTCCATAAATAGAACAATAAGGCCTGCATGACAGCACATCTGGTAATAGCATGGTTTAATGAATATTTTAAGCCTGCTGTTGACACTTGCTCAGAAGAAAAGATCTCTTTCAAAATATGACATGCATCAACAATGTAGCTCGTCACACATGAACTCTGAGGGAGATGCAGAATGATGTGGATGCTGCTTGCTCACTAATACACCATCTATTCGGGATCAAGGAGCAATTCTGACTCTCAAGTCTTATTTAAGAAATACATTGTGTAAGTAAATAAATTTTGTATAAGTGATTCCTCCAGGAGATATGAGCAAAGTAAACTGAAAACCTCATGGAAAGAATTCAGTCTTTTGGATGCCATTAAGAACATTTTGATTCATGGGAGGAAATCAAAATAACAACAACAGGAATTTGGAAGAAGTTGATTCCAAGCTTCATGCATGACATTAGGGGTCCAAGACTTCCACAAAGGAAGTAACTACAGATATTGTGGAAATAGCAAGAGAAGTAGAATTAGAAGTGGAACCTAAAGATGTGACTGCGTTGATACAATCTCATGAAAAAACTCTAATGAATGAGAAGTTGCTTTTTATAAATCTGCAAAGAAAAGTAGTTTCTTTCTGAAAACTTTATGTATGTATTTATTTGAAAGAGAGAGAGACAGGGAGAGGGGGAGAGAGAGAGTCTTCTGTCTGCTAATTCACTGCCCAATAGCCAGGATGCAAACCAGCACTCTAGTATGTCATTCTGGTGTTGTAAGCGATGCGTTGACCTGCTGCTCCACATTGCCAGCTCTGGAAGGTGTTTTCTTGAACCGGAATCTACTCCTAGTGAAGATGCAATGAACACTGTCCAAATGATAACGAAGACTTTATAATGTTATGGAAACTAAGTGGATCAAAAAAAAGTGTTAAAATTTGAAAGGAATGACTCTTATTTTGAAGTAAGGTTATCAAACAGCACCACATACTTCAGAGCCATCTCTGCTGGAAAGCAGCCAATTGATGCAGTCAACCTCATTGTGATCTTCTTTTAAGAAACTGCCATAGCCACCTCAGTCTTTAGAAACCACCACCCTGACCAGTCAGCAGCCAGCAACACTGAGGCAAGAATCTCCACCAGCACGGTTTGCTGAAGGGTCAGAGGACTTTTTCAAGCATTTGAAAACTATAGACTGTTTTAAAAGTAAGCTGTGCACTTTTTTTTTTTAAGATATAATGCCATTGCCCACCTAATAGACTACAGGATTGTCGCTCCCCCTCTTCATGGAGGAACGACACAGGACCCTGCGCTGTTCTTTCGTCTGCTCGGCCCTCCCCGGGTTTGCTGCTGGTTCTTCCCGGGTTGGCTACTATCCCTTCCACCTCCGTGGAAGGGCAGTTCCCCCTGGCCACATTCCCCACTTCCGCAGGGGAGCGGCACACCGCCGGCCGGCTTTCTCGGGGGCTGCACGGGTGTTCCTTCAGCTAGATGTTCCCCATAGATGTTCCTGGTGCATGCCGTCTCTCTCCTCCTTTATAGTCCTCCTCTGCCAATCCCAACTCGGCTGCCCACACGCCGAGTACGCTGCTCTCCTCCAATCAGGAGCAAGTCCTACAGTTTATTGATTGAACTGGAGGCAGCTGTGCGGAAGCTGTTTACTTCTCTCCCAGCGCCATATTGTGGGAGAGCAGATGCATAGAATAAGTCTTAATTCCAGTAACTCAGTCCAGTCCGGATTGCTCCCCACAAGGATAAACAGAGTGTGTGTGTGTATATATATATATATATATATATACATATATATATATGCATGCAGTGGGAAAACAAAATATTCTTGTGACCCACTTTGCTGCTATATTTGCTTTATTGAGTGGTTTGGAGCTGAATCTGTGGTGTCTCTGAGATAAGCCTGTATGCTTGTGCCCACTGCTAATTTAGCAAATAGCAAAGTATATTAAAATTATTTGTCTAGTGTGTCTCCCACTTGATTGTGAAATTCTTGAATGTAGGGACTATAGCTTATTTAGTTATATATTCCCAGGATTTAGCTCAGTCTTAGAATATAGTTAATGTTCAAGAAATAGGGGTAGGAATTTAGCCCAGCAGTTAAGACAATGGTTAAAATGCCCATGTCCTACATCAGAGTATTGATTCCTGGCACCAATTTGTGTTCCCAGCTTCCTGCCACAGAAGGCAGCAGTGATGGCTGAAGTAATTGGGACCTTACCACTCACATGAGTGATCTGTACTCCTAGCTTTGGCCCCAGCCCAGCCTTGGCCCCTCAGGCATTTGGGGCATGAACCCATAGATTAGAGCTCTGTTGCTGTTCTCTCTCTCTTCCTGTCTATGGCTCTTTCTGTCTCTCAAATATTAAAAAAAAAAATGGCCTAATGACTAGTAATCATATAATATGTAGGGTTGTAGTGAACACATTAATGTAATTATCTAATTCAATCCTCTCAATACATCTATAGAGGAAAGTCCTGTTATCATTTCCATTTGACAGATGAGGAAATTGAGGCTTCAACATACGACCTAGGAAGTAGGACACACACACACACACAAAAATACAAAAAACTTTCCTAAATCTTAATATTCAGAAAAGTTTGACTTTTTCCTTCAGGCTTTTTCAAGAGAAAAATAACTTGTCCAAAGTCACAGACCTTTAAGTGGCAGAGCTAAGGGTTGAACCCCTGAAGTCAAGCTCTTAAACTTACATTCTTCTAGGGTTTGTTTTACCACATATTTATATAACAATAGTGGACATCTGGCATATCGTTAAATCTCTTTGTGGGACGGCTAAATCTCATATCAGAGTGCCACCTTCAACTATCAGCTCTGCTTCCAATTCAGCTTCCTCCTGATGTGTACTGTGGGAGGCAGAAGATAGTGGCCCAAGCACTTGGGGCCCTGACATCCACATTGGAGACCCAGTTGGATTTCGAGGCTCCTGGCTTCTGCCTGGCCTACCCTTGGTTGTTGTGGATAATTGGGGAGTGAACCAGTAGGTGGCATATCTTTGTTTGTCTCTCTGCCTTTAAAATAAACAATAATAAAACAGTATTTACATAATACTATGTGATTAAACTGCATGCCTCTGCCTCAGAGCATAAAGTTCGAGGAGACGTGGTTTCTTCCCCTGCTTTTTCCTCCCTCCTTCCTTCATTTCTTCCCTCCACTTCTTCATCCTTTGTCTATCCTTTTAAATCATTTAATCAGCCTATAAAAATAAATGCAATAAAATTGTTTTTATAAAGTATTTTTAAAAATAGATTTATTTATTTGAAAGAAGAACAGAAAGAGAAAGAGAGATATCTTCCATCTGCTGGTTGATTTCCCAAATGGCTACAATAGCTAGGACTCAGAAATGCCAAAGTCAGCAGCCAGGGACTACATTCAGGTTTCCCACATGGGTGGCAAGGACCCAAACACTTGAGCCATCTACCATTGCCTTCCAAGGCACATTAGCAGGGAGCTGGGTCAGAAGCAGAGCAGCCATCCCTGGAACTAGCACTCTGCTACGGGATGCTGGCATCACAAATGGTGGCTGAATCCACTCTACCACAACACCAACCCCTAAAACTTTGTAAAGAAATTCTAGCTAAGGGAAAATAAGGGTCCATAAGATGGAACTAGGGTAAGTTTACTACACAAAGCACAGATAGCAATGTCCTCTTTCCACGAAATTCTTTGTGACTACCCAACTCCATATTTATTGCTTCCTATTTTCATCTTCTATTTCTTATCTACAGGACACATTTGGCCTTTATCATACATCTGTAACAATTTTTTGGTGACACTTTTGTTTATTTCCTCAGTAATACTGTAATGCATCTTTTTTTTTTCTTGACAGGCAGAGTGGACAGTGAGAGAGAGACAGAGAGAAAGGTCTTCCTTTGCTGTTGGTTCACCCTCCAATGGCTGCCGCGTCTGGCGCGCTGCGGCCAGCACACTGCGCTGATCCAATGGCAGGAGCCAGGCACTTATCCTGTTCTCCCATGGGTTGCAGGGCCCAAGCACTTGGGCCATCCTCCACTGCACTCCTGGGCCACAGCAGAGAGCTGGCCTGGAAGAGAGGCAACCGGGACACAATCTGGCGCCCAGACCGGGCTAGAACCCCGTGTGCTGGTGCCGCAAGGCAGAGGATTAGCCTAGTGAGCCGCGGCGCCGGCCTGTAATGCATCTTGAGGCAGGGATCTTCTTATCTTTCATATACATATGACACCTAATATATACTGCTTGATCCATAATAAATTCTCTATAAATATTTATTGAATTGAAAGGGCTTTCAATTATTAGGAGTTAATCAATATCTACTTACCGACTTTTCTCAACTCTTATGTCTTCTTTTTATTTTCCTATCTCCCTAGAAGTCCAGAGGTGGCGGGATTCTTTATGTTTCTGCTCTAATACAGTCAACTACAAGTTAAATGTCTGCTTCCCCAACAGATTGTGAACTACCTGCTGACAAAATTTATCTCTGCACATTCTGAGGTCAGTTCCTAGTAAATACTAGGAGTCAATGGATGTGGAAGGAGGAGAAGAAGGAAGGGAGAAGGGAAGATGTTTTGTGTGATTGTTGATTATCACCAGAGGGCTGGATGGCAGAAGAAAACATTTAGGTAACAAAATTTTGTATCTTCAAAGAGTCTTAATGAGGGGGAAATACTTGATAATTCTTGCTATAATAAGATTTTAGAATTTGTATGTTTTTCTTTCCTATGCCCCTTTTTATGACCAACTTTGTAATTAACAGTATAGAACCATAATGCCTGGGATCAGATGCTGGTCTACTACTGTTTAGCTATATGACTTTGAGCAAAGCATTTATGTCTCTGTGCCCCAGCCTCATCATCTACGTAGTGGGGTAACAAAAGCACCTCCCTCATGAGCTATAATGTGGATTATCTAAAGATGTAATACTTAAAAATAATTTAAAATGCTGCCTACAACATAGAAAGTACTGTAGAATGTTTGCTATCATTATGACCCCTGTATTTCTGTTGTTTAAAGATTTATTTATTTATTTATTTATTTGAAAGGCAGAGTTACCAAGAAAGAGTGAGAGACAGAGAGATCTTCAGTCCCTAGATAGCCACAATGGCCAGGGCTGGGCCAGGCAAAAGTCAGGAGCCTGGAGCTTCTCCCAGGTCTCCCATGTAGGAGCCCAAGCTCTTGGGCCATCTTCTGCTGTTTTCCCAGGTGCATTAGATGGGACCTGGATTGGAAATGGAGCAGCAGGGTCTCAAACCAGTGCCCATGTGGGATGCCAGCATTCCAGGTGGTGGTTTTACCCACCATACCATAATGCTGGCCCCGACTGCTATTTTTGAAAGGCTGAATTTCTCATCTTGTACTGCAAAGTCTAGAATACCAGCTATTACCAAAGAGTCAATTGCCCTTTGAGAAGAACTGGAAACCCTCCAGGACTTACTTTTGGCTAGGGCACTCTGTACTTCCTGGAGTGATAGTGGCCACAAAAGCAATGCTCACAGGAGATAATGAAGTACCATATAATTGCAAAGTCAAGACTGTCTAGCTCCTAGAAACACCCAAAGGAGCTTGGTTTAAATTTTCACTGTGCTTGAGAGCATAATTGGTATGAAGCAGGCAAGCATCCAACTAAGAGATGGTTCAGGCCATGGAGAAGAGACTGTTGGGGATGAGAGGAAGGCCCCACAGAACACACTGACTCAGCTGTGACATTCCTGAAGGCGGGACAGAGGAGCTGGCTCCAGGACCCAAATCCAAGTTTACAAATTCCTTAAGTTAAAAGTGATGGAACAGAGGCAAGAAGCCGTGCTCCCTTTTTATTCCTGTAACAACTTAACTTGGTGTCGTCTTTTGAAGCTTACAAAAACTCTTTGCAGTACATTATCTTATTGATGCATCTGTGAAAGATAAAGGGAAGTGATCTTTATGAAAAATTCATGATGTAAACATAAGGATCAAAAGGAAGATACAAACTTTCTTATTACCCTCAAAGTGAGGTTTGAGACCCTCAAAGTCTTTCTCCTGTTATCCAATGGTGTACAGTTTTTCTTAAAGAGAAGAAAATACTATTAGTTTAGGTCTAGAAGTAGAGAAACAAATTAGGGAAATTTTGGATTAATGACAGGGTCATCTCTGCTAAGCAAGCAGACCAGTCATGGGAACAAAAGTGGGACATGAATGTTGGGATTTGGCTACACAGCTCCAGCCTGTGCAGGGAGTCATAGACAACACACACTCTCCCAACCCTGTGGTTTTGCTGCTTCTACCCTGCCCCAAACTCTGCTTAGAATCCACGCTGGATCCCCTCCTGGAGTTACACTGTCTACTGCCCAACCCAGATGCTTTCATGAGTAAGTGTGAACTGAGGGGCCAAGAGGGGAGAAAATCAATCCAATCCAAGTTGGATGAACTGCCTTCAGTCAAGCACACATTTGTTGAGCTTGTTAGACAATAGATGGTATAAATGTGCTAATCCACGTATGTTAGCCTACTTCAAAACGTTTGTAGAAAAATGAAATTAAAAGGTAAACTTACTTTGGTACAAAAATTTTGAAACCTGTGGCCAGTGTTGTGACCCAGCAGATTACACTGCTGCTTGTGATGCTGGCCTCCCATATTGGAGCACCACCTAGAGCCCTGGCTGACACCAAAGTTGAAGTCTATCCACCAAATCCCACTGATGAGACCAATACTTGAGTACCATTTAGGAACACAAAACTTCTGTTATTGGGTTCCTAGAACCTTATGAATTTTGTGCAAAGGCAAAGATCTGTTCTTGGATAGTCTGGGTTTACAATGAAGCTACTTATCACAGCAATTGGAGCATTTCAGTTGCGTTAGGCACTAACATTTCAGTGGAGCCTGGCTATAATTTCAATAACTCAGAAATAGATACAACACTGGGCTGGTGCTGTGGCACAGTGGGTTAAGCCACCACTTGTGATGCCAGTCTCCCATACTAGAGTGCCAGTTCAAGTCCCAGCTGCTCCACTCTGATGCAGCTCCCTGCCAGTGTGCCTGGGAATGCAGCAAAGATGGCCCCAGTCAAACCACGATAGCATTTCCTGGCTTCAGCCTGGCCCAGTGCTGGCCTTTTCAGTCACTTGTGAAGTGAACCAGCAATGGAAGAGCTCTCCCTATCTCTCTTTCTGTCTCTTCCGCTCTCTCTGTCACTCTGCCTTTTAAATTAACACATAAGTAAACCTTTAAAAAAAAGATACAATATTTAAGAAACCATTGCCAAGAATGGGCTCTGCTCCATGATCTCAGATAACATTCTGTATCTAAGTCCCCTGTGTACATCTGCACTGCAGCCAGCACTGAGACGGGCCCACGAGGCGGTTTTCTCAGAGAGAACAAGTGATTGCTGCTGAACGGAGGGCCTATTCCAGAACTATTATTCTGCAGGCTCTGTTTGCAGCACTCACCTTAGGAAGCTAATTCTTCTAAGTGATGCCTAGGCAAACTGCCAATTGTTTTTGCTTATCATTAATATGGGCTCCTGATCTCGTTGCCATGGTTACAGGAAACTCCAGAGTTGGCTTTCACTCCAATCAGGGGTCCTGTTGTTTATGGTAAAAGCTGCACTCTGACCTAGCTTTCCAATCAATCCTGTTCCATCCAGCCAAGGTCCCACACTCCTGGGCCTTGTAGTTTTCAAGGGCAATGCATTAGGTAAAGGAGAACTATTCTTAAAAAAAAAAATAAATGATCGTGTATTTCTGATTAAGTGAAATGCTACTAAAAAAAGATATTTACTCCTATTGGGAACTTGGAACCCACTTTTGGAAGGGGTGACTTACTTTAATGGTGAGTACATTACCCCCAAGGGAACTTTTTTTTTTATTTCTGTTTCATAGCAGACAGCACTTATAAAATTCTTCTTCATCACTACAGAGTGGAGGATCCTAAATTTTCTGATTGGTCTAAACTGTCACTACCAAAGGCAGAATCACCACCAGCCCATGAAATTACTCCCCGTTTTAGCAGGATGACCTTTAGAACTATCAGCTCTCAGAAAAGTGCCTGGGGAATCCTTAGCCCATGCTCTTGATCCGACGCCTCGCTGTCCCTGCCCTTGATAAATTAGGCGTCCACAGAGGGAGGGCACCAGCTAAGGTGCTGTGAGCAATTGCCTCACAGGTTACAATCTCTGCCACTGCTTTTCCACTTCTGCCCAGGCTGCTCACGGAGCTTGTCCTTGGGGCCCCGAGTGTACCACTCCTCAAACCTGCCCTTGACCACTCATCTTTCGCTAATTCCATCTGCACACACACATTGGGCAGGGCAAATAAGAATCCACTCAGAATTAGTGGGCTTGGGCCCCACCACTGATTCTTTGGTCACAATAAAAAATATGACCACCGCACATTTTGCTTCATCACTGTTTGCAGTGGCTTCATTCTGTTCTGAAAGGGGCCATGGAGAATTATATTACTCTGACTCCTTTAAAATAGGAACCCCTTATTTGGCTCCCCTAAAACCCAGGCAGCAGGCAGCTTTGGCAGTCCCCCAGAGCAAATAATGACTTGGTATTTCAATATTCATTCTCAGCACTGGCTATTCCCCTGGGCACTCAGGCACATGGCCCTTTGGAAATCAAACAGCAATCAAATCTGGTTGGAGCTGGTCAAAGTGAAGACATTCCAGGGAACGTAGGCTTGTTTTTTCTACAAGCATAAATCTGATCACACCACTGTCTGTAGCTTCTCCTCAAAGACAACAAGTAAAGTTGCCATGCTTAGGAACAGATCTGACTCAAGAAAAAGGGCTCACATTAACTATTTCCTTTCTTGACAATCAAAATACTCTCCAGAGCCAAAGCCACAATAAGGACACCTAATGAGGAAAGGATAGGTAGCAGTTCTTATTGCCTGCAGCCTGATTTCAGTTGGGAAAAGTCTAATTTAGTACTTGTGTGGGTGGACATGTGCAAATTTGCAGAATAATGTGCATTAACTGTTTATTTACTTATCCTCTTGGAATTTGGCATGCAGCCTGGCTGCCAGTCACAGGCCAACACTTACCAAAAGTGGGGAGTAACGAAAGTTTATTTTAGAAAACCCTGTAGCCTTTTTTGCTCCTTCTTTCTATATCTGGGGAATCCCCTCCCCCAGATGATCGGAGCCATTCATTCTCATTCTCATTCTTTCTCCCTCCCTCCCTCCCTCCCTCCTCTCTCTCTCTCTCTCTGTCTCTCTCTCTCTCTAAATTTGTTCTGGAAAGTATCTGAATAAGTCATTTGTTCTAAGTTATGAGACATCATCCCTGTGGAACAATGTCTTTTTTATTCAGCAATATTAGAAAATGAGGCATTCTGCATAAATAAAACTTCCAAATAAATTAAAATCATAATTCTAAGTGCCAATTAAAAAATTAATTGGCTTGGACGGAAGCATTTAAAATGCATTATGTGTATCATTATAAATTCATGCACAGAGGATACCAAAATGATGATTAATCAATTGTGTAGCATTTTACATACTACAAAGTGCTTTCACATACATTTTCTCATTGTTTTTCGCTACTATAAAGAGAAGATACCGGGTTCCTATTTGTCATGTAGGAATCATTGTTTCAAACAGGGGTTGCTATCCTGTATTCCATATCACCCTGTGACACAATGATATGTACAACACCACAATATGTAGTATTCAGGGATGTACAACATTTGCCTCTTTCTGGGGCCTTTCATTTGTTTGCTATACTTTCTAGGTCTTAGTGTCTGCTGCCTCTGGAGAACTAGCTCCTATTTTTGTTGCTGGAAAATCTGCATCTAGCAGCTTGGACCAGCCAATCTAGTTTACTAAATATACCTCATTGAACTAACTGCTGCTAAGCTGTGGGCTAGGAAACCAGATGAATTAGCTTACTAAAACCATATTTTAAAATAAGACCAAACAAGCTACCCATTTATTTCAGCATGGCTCTGAGATGATTTTATTTCCAAGACTTAAAGCTCTAAAATTCTCCCCTCTAGTCTTATTTTCTCAGCCAAAGTACTCTAACTTTTCCCCCATGCAGACTGGACCTCAGCATCACGGTGCCCATGATGCTGCAAGTGGGAGCCTCAGATCCCTTCACATCCCAGGAAGTCCAGCTCCTACTTCCTTCTGATCCTGCCTTCAGAGTGCTGAATGCTCTTAGATAAATTTAGAAGGCCCTGTTGAGGGGCCAGCACCGTGGGTAAAGCCACCACCTGCAGTGCCGGCATCCATATGGGCACTGGTTCGAGTCCCAGCTGCTCCACTTCCAATCCAGCTTTCTGCTATGGCCTAGGAAAGCAGTAGAAGATGGCCCAAGTCCCTGGGCCCCTGAACCCATGTGGGAGACCTGGAAGAAGCTCCTGGCTCTCGGCTTCGGATCAGCACAGCTCTGGCCATTGCAGCCAATTGGGGAGTGAACCAGCAGATGGAAGACCTCTCTCTGCCTCTCCTTCTCTCTCTGTGTAACTCTGACTTTCAAATAAATAAATAAATCTTTAAAAAAAAAAGAAAACCAATTTGGATAGTACATTATAATTTTAGAACTTTATAAAGTAACCCATTATTTATTTTAAAATGTAGAGGGTGAATTTTGAAATAGTCCCTTCAACAACAAAGGAAATGAATAATAAAATCACCTGTAGTCCCTGTACTCAAACCCCAGCTCTGTTGGGAAGTTTGGTTTATTTCTTACCAGTATTTTCTGTATGAGCATATGTGCATGTGTGCTTGTGCATTTAAACATTACTTTACATTTTTTTTGCTTTTTTCATTCATGTTTATACCACTGCTATATTCCACTGTCAATATGCAGCATTTTAAGCACTTTTTATATTGACATAATCTCCAGCTTATTGAAATGCTGCAAGAATTCTGCAAAAACAGTTTTTCCCTAAATGATCTGAAATAATATTGTTAACTGGTACCCCAAGATTTCCTAATACATTTTTTTTAATTCTTAAAATTCATAACTCATGAAAATTGTATAAATTGCATATATTCACAAAGTACTATGTGACATTTTAATACATGTATACACTGTACAATGTCCAAATCAAAGTAAACATATATCATTGTTTAGGTTTTAAACCTATCATTTTTAATGATTGCAATACTTTGTCAAGCAGTTGTACACATTTGCATTGATAATCTGTCTCCACTGTATTTTTAGCATCTTTTATTTTATGGGTGGTGATATGAATTGTACTGCAAAAAATTTTGATATTTATAATGTTTTCTCTAATTAGGATTATTTTCTAATTAATTCCTAAACTTGGTAAATAGCAAAAGCATTTAAAAAACATAACATCATTAGAATCTTAAATTTTTCCCTTGTCACTGAAATTTTTATCTTTGTCTGCTAAATATGCTCACTAATTGGAAATTCATCTTATGTCTACTTTGTGTTAGGCACTGTGGATGCCAAAAGGAATAGCACATGGCCCCACCCTCAAGGGATCCCCAGTTCATGTTATTTTGTGATCTGTGCTATAATGAGAGATTTACTTGGTGTGCAGTAACACAGAGGCGAGAATGTCTAATTCTTGACAGAGGAGACCAGATGTTTGCATTAAATTTTGAAGAATAAGCAGGCATTTACCAGGCAAAAACACAGATCCTGAAGAATCAAGTTGTGCGCAGAGAACTGCAGGTGCTTCATTATCCCTGGAACGTGGTGTGGGACCAATAAAATATCTAACACCTGCTACAGCTTATTGCAAGTTATGTATCAAGTACATTCTAAATATTTTATTGATATCATCTCCATCAATTTATACAACCTTGCAAGGTAAGTAGTATTCGCTGTATATTGCAAATGAAGATCTTTTAACCATTGAATACTGATACATAGCAGAAGATATATTGAAAGTCAGTTCCTACTGACTGCACAACCTGTGCCCCTCATCATTGTGTTATGCTGCCACTACCTAGACGCCAGCAGAACAGTTATGGGAGCTGGGATGGTAAGCAAGGAGAGACCAGCTCATTGAAGCATCTATAATTTACGATAAGGACTACAGCCTTCTTAAACTTTTCAGATGCACCAGGATTGGTAACTTCCTCTTCTGTGCTCTTGTCAAGCTTTTATAGGCTTCTACTACAACACGGATTATACTTGTGCATATTGCTAGTGTCTAGTTCCAAGTATGTGCCCTCCATTGAATTGAGATTTTCAAGTGTAAAGGCTATCTCTTAATTACATTTGTCTTCCCAGCAACTAGCTCAGGGTCCAGCAAACAGCAGAAATGGAATCAATATGAAATGACTGAATTGTGCACTTTTGAGCCAGATCACTGGTTTGTCAGAGCAACATCTTCCAGGCTCACAACTGTTAGTCATATTTTCAGGAATTATCTTAGCTTGTTAAATACAGATATTATTAAATTAAATTATGTAAACTTACAAGTAAATATTATGAAGGGACTAGTGTTGTGGCAAGCAGGTAAGCTGCCACTTGCAATGATGGCATCCCTTATTAGAGTGCTCATTCTGTCTCTGTTGCTCCACTTCTGATCCAACTTCCTGTTAATGTACCTGGGAAAGCAGCAGAAGATGACCCAAGTGCTTGGGCCCCTGCCACTCATATCTGAGACCCAGATGGAGTTCCTAGCTGCTGGCTTTAGCCTAGCCTAGATGTGGCTGTGTGGCCATGTGGGGAGTGAATCAGTGGATGGAAGATATCTTTCTGTCTCTGTCTCTCTCCCTCTCCCATCCCCCATCACTCTTTCAAATATGTAAATATTTTTTAAAATGCATTATTAAAAGCAAAGATAATCACTTTCTCTCTCTCTCTCTCTCACTGTCTAACTCTGCCTGACAAAAAAAAAAAAAAAAAAAAAAAGCAAAGATAATCCATTATAAAAACTTGGAACTTCTTTATCTTATTTTTTAGAACATTCATTCAGCAAGTGCTTGTTGAGATGTCACATTGAACTAGGATCAAATTGAACTAATTTTTACTATTATTTATAATCATGAGGTTATTTCACCTATATCCTCTGTATGATGGAAATATCCTGCAATGTTTTACATCTCATTCTAATTGTGGGCTCTTATTGGTGATCTGAAATAGCTTAGGGTGCTAAGCACCTCTTTTGACACTTATTAGCATTTGCAATATTAGTTGTGCTGATTCCCCTGTTTATTGACCATTCATCATCATGGTTTCTCCCTACATCTCCTTCAAAATTCTTTTTGTAGTCCTTTTATAGTTTTTTTTTTTTTACTTTTGAATATTTTACCTAATTCCAAGGTGTCATACAAATGGCATTCAGATTTGTATCTCCAACTCTAATTTCTCTTTTTAGCTCCAAATGATATCTCACTTCCAACTACCTGCTGTGTATCCTGAACTAAATGTTCTAGAAAATGTCTCAAAGCAATTTTATTCTTTATAGTTTGTTATATTATAAAAAACATGATAAAGCTTTTATAATTATATTTTTTTCCTAATTAAGATGATTTCACAATTAGCTCCTAAAATTGAAATGACTAGAACAAATGGCAAGAACACTTTAAAAACTGTTACGCAAATCTTAAATATTTTCCTTTTTTACTTAATTTTTTTCTACTAAATATGCTTACTGTTTGAGCATCTACCTTATGTCTACTGCACTCATTATACTTGTATAACTGAAGGCAGTTTGTGCCAGTCTGAGTTCCATGATTATATTGATTTTTATTTATGTTATATTTATATAAATATTTTATTTATTTTTATATTGATATTTTTTCATTTCAATTACCTGGGCTTGAAACATAATAGAACTTGTTTCTTTCCTATTATTTCCTCTGCATGTTTCTCTTAAAATCTCTGAAAGTTGCCTTTTCTAAAAGATTTATTTATTTATTTGAAAGTCAGAGTTATAGAGAGGGACAGATCTTCCAGCCACTGCTTTACTCCTCATATGGCTGCAGTGGCCAGGGCTGGACCAGGCCAAAGCCAGAACCATCATCCAGGTCTCCCACGTGGGTGAAAGGGGCCCAAACAAGTGGGCCATCTTCTGCTTCTTTTCCTGGGCCATTAGCAGGGAGCTGGATCGGAACTGGGGCATTCGGGACATAAACTGGCATCCATATAGGATGCCAGTGTTGCAGATGGAGGCTTTACCTGCCATGCCATAACATTGGCCCCGAGTTACCTTTCTTATGTTGTAAATGTTGACTGAGGTAGCTTGTCCACATCTTGACTAATGTCGTGGTTATTTATGCAATTGCCTTACACTTCTTAGATAGCAAGTCTTCTCAAAGGCAGGGAGAAGTAAGGACCCTGAGCTGGGGAGATGATGCTGACTGTTAGTGGGCCCCATAAAGGTCCTGGTAGGAGAGGTGGGGGAAGTCAGAGAAGCAGAGATGCTGGAAACAGCGCTTGAACATCGCCAGGGGCCGTGAGCTAAGGACTGTGGGTGACCCCCAGACTGGAACAGGCGAGGAAGAGATTCCAGAAGGGATACAGCTCTGCTGACATCTTCATTTTAACACACTGAGATGGATTTTCAATTTCTGACCTTTTGAACTGTAAAAGAATAAAGATAAAATGTTGTGTTTTCTAAAGATTTATTTGATTTGAAAGGCAGAGTTACAGAGAGAGAAGGCAGAGAGAATGAGAGAGAGAGAGAGACAGAGAGAGAGATTGATTTATTTTCCATCCTCTGGTTCACTCCCAAAATGGCCACAACAGCCTGAGCTGGGCCAGGCTGAAATAAGGAGCCAGAACTCCATTGGATTTCACGTGGATAGCAGGGGCCCAAGTACTTATTTCGTCTTCCATTATTTTCCCAGGCACATTAGCAGGGAGCTGGATTGCAAGTGGAGCAACCAGGCCTTGAACTGGCCCTCATATGACAGGCCAGCATTACAGGTAGCGGCTTAACCCACTGCACCGCTGTGCAGGTCCCTAGTTGTGTTGTTTTAATCCTCTAAATTTGAGTTGTTTGTTACAGTAGCCATAGAAAACTAATATAAGAAATCTTACTGAAGTATATATTCTAATATTAAATGATGCCAGGGGCCAGCTTTGCAGTGCAGAAGGTTGGGACGCTGCCTGCAAAATACCAGCATCACATATGAGCACCAGTCTGAGCTCTGCTGCTCCACTTCTGATGTAGCTCCTTGCTAATAATGTATCTAGGAAAGAAGCAGAAAATGGCCCAACTACTTGGGCCCCTGCCACCCATGTGGGACCTGGAAGGAGTTCCAGGCTCCTGGCTTCAGCCTGGCTCAGCCCTGGCTATTGTGGCCATTTGGAGAGTGACCTGGCACAGATGGAAGATATTTTTCTCTCTCCTTCTCTTTGTAACTCTTTCAAATAAATAAAACTTGTAAACAAATTCAACTTCATCTTTTATAAAAATATTAGATGATAGCAAACAAATTACTTCTTAATGGCAGTTTCAAGAATCTGTAAGCTGTTTGGAGGAAGCAGGTTTTCCCAGCACATAATTTATGAGACTGGTTGGCTTGTGGCATGGCAGTAAGTAGACAGGGCCTTAAAGGCAGAAAGTGTTCAAGTGGGTACATGATGTTATGGTCAATAAACAACTCATCTTAACCCCAGGAGACAAATTAGCCATGAGAAAATGAAAACTCAGAAGCCTTTAGCCTTCTCAGAGGTATTCTTTAGAGAGGAAGACATTAGAGACTACAGAAGGAAATGAGGCCCATGACACAACTGCCTCATAAGTGAGCCGGGACCAAATTCCTATTTCTTTTAAAAGTTAAACTTGCCTACATTTGTTATATATTATTTTGAAGCTTCAAGAGGCTTTTATGTTAATGATAAATAATGACAACTAACATTTATTTATAAATGTTTCTAAAGCACCCCCATATACATTATTCTCATTTAAGATAGCGACCAAATACAAAATTTCCACTAGAATGAAGTAGATTATTAATAAAAACTAAAAGGTAAATAACTTTCTTGCATGTGCATTTTTAGAAAACAACGTAAAACATTAACATCCTGTTACTGACTCTCTGTAACACACAGCGGAAAAAAAAAAAAAAACACTTCAGCTAATGCCTCCAATTATGCATCACTGCCCACTGCAGGTGGACCAAACGTTTCTCTGGTGCGCATTAACTGGACATCCTTGTAAGCCATACAGGCATCACAGCCCCAAACTGCTAATGCTTCTATAGTTAGGAGGCCATAAGCAGTGTCAGTCATTCCAGTACTATCATTTAGTGCTAAACTTGGCTATACCATATTAAACATTTGGTTCAAGAATTTTTTCCAGGATCCATTTAGCATATTTTCAGAACATTATATATGTAGCTATAACATGGGGAAAACGTGTCTTTCAATTAATTCTTTTAAAAAACAGAGTATGACACCAAATTCTTCCTCCAGTGGGGTCTTTGAAATTAGTGAAGTCTGTTTTTTAAGCCAATCTTTCCCTTTTCTGTTTGTACAGATACAAGACAAATCTTAGCAGATAGTGGATTCTTAGTATTTGTTGATGAACTTGGATTGTACCACATGAAATTGCTAATAATGGATCTGTTGAAAACTGACTGCAATTAGTAACACTGACATAAAGTGTGTTTCCAGTTGTGCTATTTAGAATTATGTTAGTGTTTATGCTCTTAATTTTCTTTGATTATTGAATTGTTTTGTGATGGTTTATTGTTTTACAGAGAAATAAATAATTTAGTATCTTCAAAAAAATTCCTATTTCTTTAGTCTCAGGTCACTCTCCCTCCCCTTCTGCTTTTCTCAGCCACCCAAATGTCCAAGCCATTGTTGAGAAACTTCACCTTTGGTTCTTTAACAAGATTTCTACTGGTGTGATCAGTATGATTAGTTATCTATCAGTATAGAATGAAGTACCTCCAAACCTAGGCACTTAAACCAACAATAGACATTTAACAGTGTCTCAAAATCTCTGTGGGTCAGAAACTCCAAGCTGGCTTGGCTGGTGAGTCCTGGCTCATGACCCCTATGGCTGCAGTCAAGATGCTGTCTAGTTTGCTGTCATCTGAAGGTTGAATCAGTTGAAGCAGATGTTGGTTATTGCCATGAGGCCTCTATTCCTTTCCATGGACACCTGTTTATAGGGGTCCCTGAGGATCTTCATGGCATCGTGGTGGGTTCCTCCCAGATCTTCAACTCCCAGAGACAGGAAGAGGTAGATGCTTCCCTTTCTATGACACAGCCTCAGAACTCACAAAGCATTATTTCTGTCCTATCTGGTTATAAATGATTCATTCAGTCAGGCCTATATTCAAGGGAGCTGGATTCATCTCTCCCTTTTGAAGAAAGAGTGTTAAAGAATTTGTGAACATGTTTTTGATACCATCACATCTTGTTTTAAAAGGATAGAGCACTTACCAACTAATATTTATATGGCATTTTACATTTCACGATATTGCACAAAATTGCGTATATTTCCACATATACTATCTCCACTAAGCAGCCTGCCAACTTTGTAAAACAGGCATTGTTATTGTTGTCCCCTTTTAATGCAGATGGAAAGTGAAGTTTAAAGACCTTAAGAAACTTGCCAAATCTAGTCCTTAGGTCTCTAAAATTAATGCTCCTATATTTTCACATCTTGTTTCTCCTAAAGCACTGATATGCCTGGTGAGAAATAGTTATTGTCATTTGAATTTATGTCATTACTTACCTCTCTTTAAAGTTCAGTTATTCTATCAAGGAAAAAAGAAAGAAGTAATGTTCACTGACCTCCCATGACCCAGATATGGTGCTAGTTACTTTACATCCTTGTGAATTTCTTGAGGTTGAGACTTGTTCATCTTATCTCCTCCCAAATACTAAAGAATAAAGTTCCAAGGAGCTTGGTTCTTACACTTTTTCTCCTGCTGTCCTAACTCTTGGATGATCTCATCCAGTCATATTTTTGAATCTCATTCATATCCTGATAGCTCCCAAATTTATGTCACCAGTTCTGACCTCTCTCTAGAACTCTAAACTCACATATCTCCTCTTAGCATCTTAAACTCAGCCTGTTCAAAACTGAACTTAAAACTTCCTTGGAGCTGGCACTGTGGCACAGTGGGTAAAGCCGCAGCTAGAAGATTCTCTTTCTCTCTCTCTCTCTCTCTCTCTCTCTCTCTCTGCCTCTAGCTTTCTGTAGCTCTGCCTTTCAAATAAATAAATAAATATTTTTTAAAAAAAGTAAAAAACAAACAAAACCCCTTTCTTTTCCACCAGAACCTTTTTGTTCCAAATCACTGTGATGATGGCAACATTCATTCAGTTGCTCAGACAAAAAATAACTGGAGATTTGTGTTTTTTTTTTTTACTGACTTCTCTCCTCTCATACTACACATCAGAAAATTCTATTAACTTTATCTTCAAACTGTATTGCCAGTCTAAGCACTTCTGAGCATCTCTATCCCTACCCTAGTCATTATCCTCTCTCCTAACTTGTCCTTACTCTTCCTGACACCATGCTTGTCTGCTCCCCCATCCCAGTGTATTCTCCATGCAATAGTCAAAGCGATCCTTGGAAAATATAAATTATATATGTATGTATATGTATGGACATATATACCCTCTAGAGGCTTCCTGCGACTCTTAGAACAAAATTTAAATCTCTTTCCAATGCCTCCAATGTCCCACAAAATCTGGCCCTTGCCTACCTCTCTGATCCTCACTCCCTTGAACTTGCAAGCATGCCCCTGCCACGTATCTTTCTCATCCCCTCTGCTGGAATGCTCTCCTATCAAAAAGGTACTTAGCCTTCTCCTTTACTTTGTTTCCTCTTATACTGTAATGTCACTTCTTCAGAGAAGGCATCTCTGGCCACTCTGTTTAGAGTAGACCTGCTCTTTCCCCTTTATTTCCTGTCCTTTATCAACTGTTTCCCTATAGCACTTACTAATGCCTGATATTATACTTATTGATCTGGTTAGGTTTTTTTTTTTGGTTTGTTTGTTTTGCTTAGCTCCTTCAACAGAACATGTTTAATTCATTGAGCCAAACATTTACTAAGTGAATGAATTCATTTTTGTATCCCTTGCAATAATTTTTAATTACAAGTCTGGAACATAGGAACTATTCAATAATGTCTTGTCATATCATCTCAATTAATTATTATTAACTTGAGATGTAAATATTTTTCTCTTTTTACAGAGACATGATGTGAATTGTGTAAGAGCACCCAAAGGAGCAAAAGTTGGCTTCCTGATCTCTGCAACTTTGTGGACTCTGTCATTTCCACTTCCCTCTTGGGTTTCCACTTCTCTGTGCTGTGTCTGAGATCTTGAAATTGCTCAAAAGACATATAAGAAGTCAAGAAGAGCTCAGATCAATGAGTTCTAAGCTTTCAGGAACCCAGAGAAACACAGTTGGCAAGCTCCAAGTACTACATCTTCTCATGGTTATAGACAAGAGTATTCTTGCCACTTCCCTCCTCCAAGAGCTGTTCCAAAATGCATACTGTGAGTTTTCTCTGGGCAATCAACAAAACATCCCAGAACAGTGGTCTGAGGCCAAGTCTAGAAGGCTTCAGAGCCCACATCCGGTTGCAGTTTTCCTCATAACTCAGAAGGGGGATGGTAGACAGACAGGCTAAATATTAAATGACGCCCTGTGAGCCATATATGCCTATTTCAGCACCCTTAGGGAGCTCTGGGCAGCAGTGATGATGATGCTTCTTCATAGTTATTGGAAACTTTAGAAAACCAGATCAATTACTTTTCCAAAGGTCTTCATGTCAATAAACCTTTCAAATAAATCTCCTTCCAAGGCTGCCCGACATAAAAGTCTGTCTTTCCCATGAGTTCACCTTCAGTTACTGCAGTCCAAACTAATCATTCCATCACCTGCTGTCCAGCTTCCCATTCTGACCTTCAGTTATAAAGTTCTTTGATATTGTTTTTGGCTCTTCAGTGGGGACATGGATTGGCTCCCTGACTGGTTTGCCAGCTCCTTGAAGGCAGAGACCACAGCATACAAAGATATTTCCAAGAGTTCCTGGGAAATGTGTATCATGAAAAAAGTTTATTTTGCACCAAAATAAACTTACATTTTCTAGAAATTTCTCACTGGACCACATTCACCCCACCCTTTACTCCCAGCTTTGAATGGAATTCTGTAGGATTAGAGCTGTTTTGCCTCTACCCAATTGAGTGCAATAACATCTCAATGTGGACTCCCCAGTGACTGGGTCCACTCATTGGTTTGATTCGGAAGCACTAGCTAGTTTTGGACAGTGGAGTTTAGACAGCAAACCCTGAGTCTCAGGAACCTGTTTCCCAATTTTCTCTCTGATCTATGTGACTCAGTTTCCTTCATGGTAAGCTGAAGTGTGACAGTAACTGAGTACTTGGGGAGAGCATTTGGTAAACAGTTAACACTTTGCTTGGTAGGACCACAACCCATGTCAGAGTATGTGGGGTTCAGGTCCTGGCTCTACTCCCAACCCCAGCATCATGCCACAGTGCACTCTGACAGACATCAGGGGATGGCTCAAGTAGTTGGGTCTCTGACAGCCTTATAGGAGATCTGGACTGAGGTCTGGGTTCAAGGCTTTGGCGGGGCCCAGCCCAGGCTACTGCATGCATTTATGGAATGAAACAGCATGGAGGAGATTTCTCTCTCTTTTTCTCTTCCAACTTTCAAATAAAATAAAATAAAAATATAAAAGAAGATTACTGTTTATGGCCCTTGTCTATACTCTTGAGGAACAGTGGCTTTTCTACTTACTGCTTGTTGAATTGTTTATTTAGTGGAGGGTTAAACTTGTGATTATAAAGTAAATTGAAAGTAACATTAAACTTGTGATTATAAAGTAAATTGAAATATAAGAAAAGAAGGAGGAGGGAGGGTGGGAGTCTGTGAGTGAAGGAGTCTAGGGTGGGAAGTATCATTATGCTCTTAAAATCGTTTATATGAAAGAAGTGAAATTTGCTCTTTTATATAAATAAAAACTTTTCAAAAGAAGGAATAGGTGCTCAAGAATACTAGAATCAAGAAGAAGAATTTCTCTTTTGTGAATCTCGTCAAACAAGAAATACTGGTAACAGAGGATGCCATTCACTTCACGGAGGGGAAGCCGAAGCTTCTCTCGGAAGAGGGAGGAGGCTGCTGTGCTTCTCGAGCCCCTGCTGCTGCCCTGTTTGTCCACATTTCCAATCCTTAAACCTCTGTGACTTAAGGCCCTGAGAGTGGACCTAGCAAGATTCTTCAGATCTCCACAGCCTTCTAGGGTGTAAAAGAACAATAAAAATCAGCCTAGTATACTTGAGTTCCCTTAGCATCCCTCCCTCTAAACAGTCTGCCATTCGAGCCTTTTCCAGAGGTAGCGTCCCAGTTAGAAAGAGCAGCTTGAAAGGGTCTCTGTTCAGAGATGGTACTCTTGACTGGAGCAGAACATGCATTTGGAGCTGCTTTTCCAGGAAGGACATCTGTGGAGTGCAGGCAGCAAACCCGAAGTCTCAGGAACTCGGCGGTGGTGCACTCACTGCCAGTACTCATGACTTGAAGGCTGCTGAAGGTGAGGGTGTGTGTTAATTCCTGCTACGCACGGCTTGCCACGCGTGCCTCTGTGAGGAGAGTGTCTGCTGTGGAACTTTCTGGAAAAACCCTTGGGAACAGGACCGGCGATGGGAGGTCAGGGGCAGCACACTGGGCAGGAGTCTCTGCCAGTCCTTGAGTGATTGCTGGGGAGCCCATGGCTCACAGGGGTCACAGCTAGATCTGCACTGAGCTGTAGGCCCCAGAAGTCAGGGGTTGGTTATATTGCTGGGCTGGATACTGGATTCCACACCAAGTTGGTACTCCTTAAAGGATTGAGCTTGGTGATCATCACAGTTTACACAAAGTCAAGTGGTTAATGAATGAACTAGGAATCAGAGTTTTATATCTATGAGCTAATTATATCTGAGTTTCATAATAACTTGAGGCTATTTATGAGCAAGTATTATTATTATAAGCCACATTCTGCGGATGAGAGGCCTGGCCCTGCATCAAGAAGTAGAATGATGTATTTAAAAGACAGAAAATAAAGAGTTAATTCTTTTGATCTGGTATGTGCAATTCAAAGAAAACTTACTGTAAATAGTGGACGCTAATAGGTGGTTATTTAAAAGAAAATATAGTCCACAATGCCTGGAAATTAGAAGCAGAATTCCTTTTTTATTTAGTAAAGAGTATTTAATATAAACTTTTTAAAAAGGGTTAGACGTGCTTCAATTGTTCTTAAACTGTTTTTGTAACACTGTTGCCATATTTCCAGAATTTTTATGGAAACTTGAGGGGAAAAATTACTCTGTGAACTTTTTCTTATTAAGGCAAATAAATAAATAAAGGTGAAATTTTGTGTATGCATCTGAAGCCCAGATAAGAGTTCCTTTGTGGTTCTCACTAATATAGAAAAATCTATTTAAATTTTCTCACTTCCCCTTTCCTTTCAAACCTGATCCAGTTAGCCTTGGCTCTTATCCCCTCCTTCCCCAGTTCTAAAACCAAATGGAATGTTTGTGCTGAGGGACAAGTCTGTACAGTGACTCAGAGGAAACAAGCATTTATAAACCATGTTTCCCTAAAGCCTCAGTACAAACACAACTGTGGCCCACTTCCAGATCGGACAGCGCAACACTCACTAGTGTGGCCCTGGCCAAACTAAGTGTCCAAGGGCCTTAGCCAAAAACAAGACCTGGGCTGCAAATGGCCTTGAGGCACCACCACACCTTGCAGATCTTTCATCTCCAAGCGTCAAAACAACCTGTGCTGGAATGAAGTCAGACGAAGAAGCGTTGTGCTTTGCAGGAATGCACAATTCTCTTGAGTTTTCAGTGTAGCTTGGCGTGACTTCAGCTTCATTACAGGCTAGTCTCTTAATTGTGTCCCTGAGTTTTCTTTTCAGGATAAATGTCTTCCCCTTGAGGCCCAACATAATCATATCTGCCTGGAATACAAAGGGTTACCAGGGCATTTGGTTTTCGCTCTGGAGTCAGCCTGATCTAGTTTTGAATCCCAATTCCTTACTTCGTATTTTCACTTGACAAAGATTTAGGAATACTGACTTTGTGCCAGGCTTGCATGGTTCTAAGAGCTGAGAATGAGGGAGGGAGAAGAGTAGACAGGGCTCCTGTCCTCCTGCTCTGACATCCTAATTAGAGGAACCAGGAGAAACAAACACAAAACACAAAGATCATGTGGCAGGGATGGTGATAACGTCATGGAGATAAATTAGGGAGCTGGTTCCGGTGACCAGAGGCCTCTGCATGATGGAGAGGAGGTGGCTTCTATGGAGCAGAGGCAGCTAAACAGAGACCTGAGTCACATGAAAGATTCAGCAGAATAAGAACACGCCTGGGGCCAGCGATATGGCATAGTGGGTAAGACACCACCTACAGTGCCGGCATCCCATAGGGGCACCAGTTCACGTTCCGGCGGCTCCACTTCTGATCCAGCTCTTTGCTATGGCCTGGGAAAGCAATTGAAGATGGCCAAAGGCTTTGGGCCCCTGCACCTGTGTGGGAGACCTGGAAGAAGCCCCTGGCTCCTGGCTTTGGATTGGCTCAGCTCTGGCTATAGCAGCCATTTGGGGAGTGAACCAGCAGATGGAAGTCCTTTCTCTCCATCCCCTCCCCGCCTCCACCTCCTCTCTCTCTCTGCAACTCTGCCTTTCAAATAAACAAACAAAAATCTTCAAAAAAAAAAAAACCCATCCCTACTCAGGAACACACAAAGACTTGAAAAAGAAGGAATCTTGGACTGCTCGAGGAACAGAAAGTCTACAGGGTGAGAGAGGGGGCAGTGGTGCAAGATGAATCTGGGACGCATGGAGGATCAAAGATCCACTCATTCTTTGAGAAGGCTCCAGGGAGGGGTGGATCTATATCCCCTCCCCTTTAATCTGAGCTGGCCTCTGAGTGCAGTGACCATGAGCTTATGGTGGAAGTGATGCAGCACCAGTCCTGGCCGTGGCCTATATGATGATTGCCAGCTTCTATCTTGGTTCTCTGAGGCCTTACCAAGGATGAGGGACCTCTTTCTGCCAAGGGCCATTTGGATATTTATAACATCATTCACAGGCCACACAAAATTATCAACTTAAAAATTAGCCTGCTATAGATTAATTGAATTTTTTAAAACGATTTTATTTATTTGAGAGGTAGAGTTACAAACGGTGAGAGGGAGATACAGAGAGAAAGGTCTTCCATCCACTGGTTCACTCCCCAATTGGCTGCAATGGCCAGAGCTGCACTGATCCGAAGCCAGGAGCCAGGAGATTCTTCATAGTCTCCCATGTGGGTGCAGGGGCTCAAGGACTTGGGCCATCTTCTACTGCTTTCCCAGGCAGTAGCAGAGAGCAGGACTGGAAGAGGAGCAGCCAGGACTAGAAACTGTGCCCATATGGGATGACGGCACTGCAGGCAGCGGCTTCACCCACTACAGCACAGTGCTGGCCCCTAGATTCATTGAATTTCAAATCCATCCATCCTGTGGTTATCTTGGTAGGGTCAGACCAAATGGTTTTGCAAGCTGCAGACTGTGCATTCCCCAACCCTGCAACTGATGCATCAGAAGGTTGAGGATCTCTTGCTGAGAGTACATGAAGAAGAGGATGTCACTGAGCCCAGCCTTCCAGGTGCCCCTGCCACAGGGCCAGACAAGTGAGTGTAATCACCCTGGATCAGCTGAGCCACCAAGTGGCTCCAGAAAGTGCCTCACGAGACAAAAAAATCAGCTAAACCAAACCTCACCCAAAGTCCTGACACACAAAATCAGGAGATACAATATTTTGGTGGTTTTAAGCCACTGAGTTTTGGGGGTCAGTTCTTTAATAGAGAATAGAGAGACAGGCCACAGTCAGGTTGCTGTGACCTTGAGCCAGGACACAGTGTGGCTTGAGCTGAGTAAGAAACCATGGGGGAGCTTATGTAGGAAATGTGGGGCCTACTACATTCTAAAACTTAACTTCGTCATTTGTTCCTGGCTTCCTACTTCTTTGATCTTGTACAAGTAAACTGAGCTATCCGTGTCTTGGTTTCTCTACCTGAAAAATAAAATAATAGTTTCTACATCATAGGGTTGTTTGGGGATGAAGTAATATAAAATAATTAGCACAGTGCATAGCGCCTGGTTCAGGGCCCGATGAATGGTAGCTGTACCTGTTTCTATTTTTCTGGCTCAGTTCCTACCTGAAGAATCAAGGAGACTCCAGTTCAGGAAGTCCTTAGGGGAATTATATACATGCTCACATCCAGGGGCCTTTGCCACCCCAGTTGCCTATCCACCAGGATGGGCCAGCAAAACTGTGATTTGGTATCCTCTATGGCCTCCTCTCCTTTTCTAATGCTGGTTCTGTGAGTTCTTCAAAATGCCAAGCCTGAAAGGACAGTGGTCTAGCCTCTGCATTCCTCTGCAGCGGCTGCTTTGTCACTTCCAGCAGGGCTGTGCCTGGCTGCTGCCACTCATGCTGTCAGGAGATTCCAGTCGTATCCTGCACAAGTGGGACAAACAGCCTCACTCCCTCTCCTTTAGGTGAGAGACTGTCAACAGTGATCCTCTGACCTCCCAGATTCCTGGAGACTACTTTCTATGATACTACTTTCTATGATACTACTATATTAGATATATTAGAGTGTGTGTCAGTCATAACTGTTAGGAGGTGCCAGGCCACCTGACACTGACTGAGTGAGATCACTTACTGGTCTTTCCCATAATCCCACCCTCCCCTTCACTCAGCTTCTACCTCTATCGTCTGTCTATTTGATCAGTTTTTCTTAATGTTCTCTTGGAAAAGATCAGTTCCTCCTTCAGACATGTCCCATAGAAAGAGAAGTGCTCTTGTTTCAATTACTTTTTCTTCTCAGATTTCCATTTCAGAGACTCAAAGTACATATCCACAAATCCCATGACATACTCTTGCAAGAAACACTCTTTTGCTTGGCTTAATCCAGTATTTCATAAACAGATTTAATCACAGAGCTCTTGTTTTGAGTCTCTCCTATGAAGAATCAGTGTGCAACAAAATGTTGTTTGAGAAATGCTTCATTTTATTCCCTCACTTCTCTCAACCAGAAAAAATGCTGCAGTAGTTCCAGAACTATGTATTTTTCTGGATTTAAGTTCTAGGTCACATTGAAAGTAGACTGCCTGTGTTTGAGTCTTGAATTCATTATTTACTTGCTACACAACTTTGAGCAAATTACTCTATCCTTACCTTAGTTCTCTTTTGTGTAAAATGAAGATAATTGGTACAATTTTCAATAGGGCCGCTGAGAAGACTAAATGGTAATAGGCATAGAAATTGAATTCTACTCTTTCTGCTTATAATGACATTATCATTACTATTTTTTTAAATTTTTTTTTATTTTTTATTTTTTTGACAGGCAGAGTGGACAGTGAGAGAGAGAGAGACAGTGAGAAAGGTCTTCCTTTGCCATTGGTTCACCCTCCAGTGGCCGCCGCAGCCAGCACACTGCAGCTGGTGCACCGCACTGATCCGATGGCAGGAGCCAGGTACTTATTCTGGTCTCCCATGGGGTGCAGGGCCCAAGTACTTGGGCCATCCTCCACTGTATTCCCGGGCCACAGCAGAGGGCTGGCCTGGAAGAGGGGCAACCGGGACAGAATCCGGCGCCCCGACCGGGACTAGAACCTGGTGTGCCGGTGCCGCAAGGCAGAGGATTAGCCTAGTGAGCTGCGGCGATGACCTATCATTACTATTATTATACAAATCCAAAAGAACCATTATCTAGGGTCTACAAATCTTTATGTAAGAATTTTACTTGGGACACAATTGACTCAAGCTAGATTTGTCCAACCTGCACTGAAATAAATCATCCTGTTCTTATTTTGAATCATCACTGCTCTGTAACACCTGACTTTAGATTCACTTTATTATTTATTTGAAAGAGAGAGAAATATATATATATATATATATATATATATATATATATATAGAGAGAGAGAGAGAGAGAGAGAGAGAGATGTCTTCACTTCCCAAATGCCCACAACAGCCAGGGCTGGGCTAGGCTGAAACCAGGAACCTGGAACTATATCCATGTCTCCCACATGGGTGGAGAGGCCCAAGCACTTGGAACATATTCCTCTGCTTTCCCAGGCATATTAGGATGGCACTGGATTGGAAGTGGAGCAGCTGGAACTTAAACTGGTGCTCACATGGGACGTTCATTTAACCTGCTACACCACAACACCATTCACCACCCACCCCCATTTTTAAAGATTTATTTCATTATTTATTTGAAATGCAAGTTTAGAGGAAGGGAGGGAGAGAGGGAGGGAGAAAGAGGGAGAGAGAGGGAGAGAGAGAGGCAGGGAGGGAGGGAGAGAGGGAAGGGGAGAGAGAGAGAGAGAAACATCAGACTTTAGGACAGGAGTTCCATCACTGTTATTTATTTATCATTGAAATCAACTGAGAAATGTGTTAAATGTTCTTCTCCCATTCCTAACACTTATGACATTTATAACACTTATGACAATTACAAAGTATCAATACCGTAACAGAAAAACCCAATGTTGATAGTTCTACTTTAAATATAGACATATGTGTTTATGATATTTCTGCCATTACACATCAAACCTCACTGAAATGAAAACTACTGGACAGGTGTAAGCCTCGTGTTAACCATTTATGCTAAGCACTTAGAGTTCTCTAGTTCATCAGTTCTCCTTTTGTTAGAATAGCTGTGCATGTTGGGGTGAGAACCAGCATTAATCCCATTTTCTCCCATTTTCTAAATGAGGCCTTCAAGGTTATGGAAATTTTATTTTTATATTCCTGAGAGTGGAAGTGGAAGGACAGATGCTAGTTGTGAGGGTGAAGGGAAACATGACTGGGGTGTTTCCAGGATTAGTAGTCATTGTTAAGATGCTTTTTTTCGGCGGGGGGGCACTCAGATCCTGCCTAGAAGAATAGGCATAGCAGCCCTTTCATGAGAGTGGGTTCGAATGGGATCTTTTAATTTCCTAAGAGGAAGGCCAATGTTTTATCCTTGAGTGATGTAGAGAAGATCATGGTGGAACTGACTTGGGATAAATGAAAGTTTAGTGATAGAAGAAACACATGGTGTATGGGCCCCTGAGTTTTCTCTGTGTATCAGTCCTCCTTACATCATCTCTATCCAGAGAGGAAGGGCAGGTTAGGCGCTCTATTCAGTGTCCCACGCCTCACTGCAGGCAGCTGCTGAGAAACAGGAAGGATTCTGATTATGATAAAAACACTGCACGAGCCTATCCTTGAAAACTTAGACCTATACTGATGGGGAACGTACATGGTACACCCATTCACTAATCACCTTCAGTGCCCTTACAAACCTCCTGATTTACAAGCACTAAGCTTGCAGGCAGATGTTGTTGTAACTCATGTAATAACAGAAGTGATTTTTATAGAGCAAAGCACAAATTCTCCTTGTAGAATTTTTACTGCAATATTGTCTTTATTCTCTGGTTTCTTGGCTGCATTCTCTCCATTCATGAGCAGCATGTGATTTCCTTACAGTTGGGAAGAGTTGGAGTTCTAAAAGGATCCTGTAACATCCAGTGGGCAACAAATGTGTGTTGAATGAATGGATGGAGTAAGCAAATGAAATGTTTCTCCTCGTATTTCCCAGGTAAACTATTTGGAATTCATGTTGCTGGACAATTGTTTGGTCTTCCACTTTGTGTACGCATTGAAGATTGATTTTTCTAAAAGTCAACAATCAATTTGGAGCACTAAGCCACTCTTTCTAAAAGTCCAGTATATGATGTAAATATGATAAGGCATCTTCTTTCCTACGCATTGCTGTCTTCTTCTCTTCTTCAGAACAATTTCATATTTGACAAAAGCATGAGGAACAGCACCTCTCAAACACAATGCAGACAAACTGCCCACTGCTATTTAATGAAAAGGAAACAAAATTGATCTTACTTGGTACTTCTATTTGAATAAAAATATTTTTAAACCCTCAGGCCAGAAAACTTCCCTAGCGTAATATTGAATGATTGCTTGACATTTCTTTCTTTATAAAAATATCAATATCAACTCTCTAATATATGAGTTTTATCTTCTTTTGCACAAACCATAAAATAATTGTTAGTATATACAATATACAAAGCTCTGTATTGCTGGAGGTCTTCTCAAGAACTTATAATCTGAGATTTATCTCAAAGGGAATAAAAATGAAGTTATAAAAATATTTCTATTGGCAATGTACTTTTTCCTGCTGTTTCACAGAACCAAAGGAATAGAAGAATGATTCACTGGGAAAGCATTTGTTAATAATTTACATATAGAGTATCTTGGAATATTTTTCCTGCAAATGACTTTCTACTGATGAATCTTCCCATAGCTTCTAATTCAAACCATGTATTCTGGGTTTAATATTAGGATTCACTCTTAACTGTCTTGCATGAAGGGCAGAGAATAGATCAAAGACCCCTATGATGACAATAGAAAATAGTTATGAAAAGAAGAACTCAAACCAAGAGAAACATGTCATCGTACATTTCACTATGGACAAAATTGGCATGAGGCTTGTTCTATCAGCATCTGTGAATCCAGGTTAAAAGATTCTTTATGAAAAAAATAATCTTTTAAAACCTCAAGAAAAGCTTTATTTCCCAGCCCTTCATCTTTCGTTGATTTTGTCATTATTGCCATCAAGAATGCAAAGCAAATCATCCATCAGATTTCCAGATCAAGACTCACTCTCCCTTTTTTGGTGTGTGTGTTTTCTTCCCAAATTAAATGAACAACGCCTGTTCCAGTCCCGGCTGCTCCACTTCCAATCCAGTTCTCTGCTATGGCCTGGGAAACCAGTAGAAGATGGGCCAAGTCCTTGGACCCCTGCACCCACGTGGGAAACCAGGAAGAGGCTCGTGGCTCCTGGCTTCAGATTGGCACAGCTCCAGCCGATGCGGCCACTTGGGGAGTGAACAAACAGAAGGAAGATCTTTCTCTCTGTCTTTCCCCCTCACTATCTGTAACTCTAACTCTCAAATAAAATTTTAAAAAATCTTAAAAAAAAAAAAAAGAAATGAGGTCATGCAAAACCTGAAGAGGCAAATGCTCAAGATCTAGATGATGACAGAGGTGTGCTTCTGTTTTCAAGCCTTTGCCCTGACTTCCCCTCCATTTGTAGTGCCATCCTCCTCTTTTGGAAACCTTTCCCTTCCTTAAAAAACAGCCCTTCTTTTATTATTCAAGTTATAATTATCCTACCATTTGCAACCAAGTGGATGAGACTGGAGAGGATTATGCTAAGTGAAATATGCCAGACCCCAAAAGACAAATATGACATGTTTTCCCTGATTTGTAGCTAATACATACAGTACAAAAAATTTAA